CTCTTATTTCCAATCTAGAATACTGATATGTAGAAAAAGGAGAGTCTTGAGCTCACTGGAATTTTATGGAGATTTTCTGGATGAAATGTTTTTCCTCTCCTCCCACATAATTTCACTTTCAATTGCCAAACTGTTTCATTATAACATGAGACTTCTTTTTGGAATAAAGAAGGGTGGGGATCATAAGATAAATTTTTTATAGACAACCTCTTGGGACACCAGACCATCTGGATATAACTAAAATAGTCATACTAACTTCAGAACAGCAAAGACCTCACATCTTTCCGTTTTGTGTGTTTTGTTTCTTTTGAATTTGTGATGTTCATTTGTGACAGAAATTAGAGAAATTGTTAAGCACTTAATATTAGCAGAATAAGCTAGATTATTTTCAAATCATGGGATTTTGTGTTTCTCATCCTTCATTTTTTCAACCCAAAACCCAATAATAAACTGCATCCAAAAAAGCAGTTATTGCAGAACAACATTATGTGCATAAATTCTTTAGTTTATCTCTTTCCTCCTCTCCACCTCCTCTTAAATTTGTCAGTCTGAACCCTACTTCTATGTCTCTGTGTCAATTTTGTTCATCACCTTATATTGTTCATTATATTCCACAAATAAGTGAGATCATGTAATAATTGTCTTTCTCTGACTGGCGTATTTCACTTAGCATAATACTTTACAGGTCCAGCCACATTATCTCAAAGTCCGGTAAATGCTGATTAGTGAGATTAGTGAGACAGTATAGCAGAAGCACTCTTCAAATTGCCAATCCCAAATATTACTGGATTACACTGAAGTAAACATCATTCAGTTCAGATTTTTACATATAATTCATTATATGACTATTAAAATAAAACTTGGTCTAACTTCCATCAAAACAGACAGTGTCCTTTAGTAGAAATGTGAAGAAATTCCTTATCAACTTTGGCTTATCTTTGTGCTGATAAGCACATGTGTGTTGCCTGGCAAACTATAGTCTGCTACCAAACCAGACAGTAAGCAGTTAGCATTTACCTAGAATTACCAATCACAGTAGAATATTGAAGCCCAAAGATGAATAGTCTATTGCTATTTATAAACAAAGACCAATTAATTAAATAAATTACTAAGGATCCAAGATGGCAGTGGAGTAGGGGGATTACACTCACTTCTTACCAAAACAAATTGGAATTATAACTAAAATACAGAGCAATTAACCTGAATAATTAACAGAAGACTAGATGAACAGAAGTCTTATAACCAAGGATTTACAGAATAAGCCACAAAGACTGGTAGGAAGTGCAGAGACATAAAAAAGTGCTGATCTGCTCACATGGGTGAGTCTGAGATTCTGACAGGACCCTTGTGCTGAGTTCTTCTTGTACACCTCAAAAAACATCTTTCTTGAGTAGAGCACTCCCCTTCTTATGGAATCAGCCTGGGGAAATGCGATAGCCCAACACTCTGGATTCCTTGTCATCCCTCCCTGATGAGCTCACATCCTCCTGAGAACTCAGATACCTGGTAAGGGATATAGAAGTCTAGGCCAACTCAGCAGGTTTTAGTGACAAAGTCTTGTGGTTTGGGGATGGAGGTCATTTCCTCCACCTACTTGTGAACCTGATTGGTGTCCCTGTTTTGCTATAGATTCACTGTCTGGGCTCCCAGTGGCCTCACCCTCCTAACTATTAGTAGCTCTGCCATGCTGAGATCTAGGAAGAACCTGGGACAGACTGAGTTGTGTGTCTCTGGGGTAGGGGCCACTCCCCCCTCCCACATTGCTCCAAACCTGACCTACTCCTCTTTTTCACAGGAGATCCATTAGCCCCAATCTTCCAACTCTGAAAATCCCCATCCTGTAGAGAGTGGGCTCCTGGCAAAGTCAGGAAGAGACTAAGTTGTGTGGCCTTAGAACAGAGACCATCTTTCCCTCACACACTTTAGTGGTGCAGAATCCTCTCTTCATACAGTCAAATTTTGGTCTTTTGGGGCCTGCTAAACTTGGCTGACCTCACCCTGACAACTTCCTGAAACCCCACCTCACCAAAATATTATTTGAGCACCCAATAGGTGTGAGCTAGACATGGTATATCTTGGAACATTTGCCGAGTGGCCTCAAACCCAGCAATGGCACAAAGCTTAAACCTGTATCAGTTTGGTAAACACCACTCATCCCTACCTGGCAAGTCACTAAGAATTTACTTCATACAACTCTTTCAGTGACTCAGCCTAATAGGCAGCTGGTATATAGAGAAAGGTATAAGTGAATCTCAGAGTGTCATGGAACCTGCCCCCAGGGCTAGTGCTGGTAAAAGTGAACCTTGGTGTGCATCTTGGTCTTTCACACACACACACCCAGACACAGCAGAGGTAGCCACAAACTGTGGATTACTTTATAACTCTAAAAAGGTTGCCCAGGCAATGCCAAAGACATGTCTCACATTGGCCTGCACGAGAGTTCCTTCCAAGAGGCCCCAAAACCAATACTCCTAGTTGCTAACTTTAGACAACATTAGAGCAGAATCCAATAAGCGTCACAAGCAGCAATTCCAAAAAGAGATCTCTACAGGCACCATATTATACTGAGGTGAATCCCACTTAATGTGGTCAACATCTGCACAGCAACTTGTGCACCGTGATCAGATACTAACAATCAAACAGTCTGAGGGTTGACCTTACACACCAATGGGCCAAAAACAACCAAGATTCAATTACAACAGGAGGGCCCATTTAACCCACACAAGAAACATCCCTGGAGCACCCATCTCAGGTGATCACAGAGATTGCACCACTGTATCCAACAGGACATCAATTACGTAAGTTCACCACACAAAGGCTGGAGTCATAGTAGATCTATGTATTACATAAAAACAAACACAGAGGAGAAGCCAAATTAGGAGAGAAAAAAATATGGCCCTAAAATGGAAAAACAAAACAGAGAAATCTCCATAATAAAAGGGTTAAATGAATCTGTAAGAAAAAATAAATTAATAAAAAAAAGAGTTAAATGAAATGAATGTAAGCAATTTATCAGATATAGAATTTAAAGAAGTGGTTATAAGAATGCTCACAGAATCTAGTGAGAACTAGAACTGCATGAAAAAAGACATAGAAACACTTTAAAAAGTGAAGAATATAATATCTGAAATGAAGGATATACTAGAAGGAATAAATAGTCGGTTGGGTGAAGCAGAGAATTAAAGCAGCAATTTGGAAGACAAGGTGGCAGAAAATGCCAAATCAGAACAGTAAAAAGAAAAAAGAATTAGAAAAATAAAGGTAGTTGAGGGGACCTTTGTGACAATCAGTATAAAACATAACAACATCCGGATCATAAAGGAATTACAAGGAGGAGAGAGAACAAGGGATTGAGAAGCTTTTTGAAGAAATAATGACTGAAAACTTCGATAACTTGGTGAAAGAAAAAGATACAAGAAGTGCAGAGAGTCCCAAACTAGATAAGCCCAAAGAAACCCAAATTAAGACACATCATAATTAAAATGCCAAAGGTTAAAGCAAAGAGATAAGTTTATATGCAGCAGGAGAAGGGCAGTTAGTTACCTACAAGGGAGCTCCCATAAGACTGTCAGCTGATTTTTCAACATAAACATTTTAGGCTAGAAGGAATTAAAAAACAGTGATGAAAAGCAAACACACATAAGTAAGTCTACTTTACCTAGGTAGGCTATCATTTAAAATTGAAGGTGAAATAAAGTGCTACCCAGACAAGTAAAAGCTAAAGGAGCTCATTACCACAAGACCAGTATTACATGAAATTCTAAAAGGTTTTATTTGAGAAGAAGAAAAATAAAAACAGCTAAAAGAATAAAATGCAATAACTATGTACCTTTCAATAATCAATTTAAATTTAAGTGCCTTACATTCATTAATCAAAATATATAATTTAGCTGAATGGGTAAGAAAAGTAAGACCCACATATATGTTGTCTACAATTGACCTACATCAAAATGAAAGATGCACATAGACTTAAAGGGATGAATTACAAAATATGTTTGTTTCAGGGAGTCATCAGCATTGCCCCATTAGTTTCTCTGTGGAGCCATCAAAGATAAATCCTGCTGAAATGCTCAGGGGAAAAGGAATGGTCCTTGAACCTGCTTTTTGGTGCATAATTGCAGGTGACCTAAATGTCCAGAAGGCTCTTGGCTACCTGCTTCAGCCCCCAGGCTTGAAAAACTCTTTCCAAGCTCTGCCTGTACTTCTTTTCCTCTGTGTAGGATTTCACACTGATAGCATTATGTACCCTGAAAGGAAAATTGATTTGATGTGAACCCCAAGAAGTAATTTATCTGCTGAATTGGACTTCCCACTGTCAAGGGACTGATTTTATGAGTAATAAGAGCCTTGGGCCATTTGTTGACAGGAGCTCTTCATATTCCCTTATAGGAGGAAGAAACTGACTACAGATTGAGCTTTTTGCACCCAGTCTTGCTTAAAAAATATAATAATAAAATAAAACATATTTAATCTAAAGGGAAATGAAATAAAAGCTGGGAAGCATTACATATATCAGAAAAATAGACTTTAAAACAAAGGCTATAATTAGAGACAAGAAAAGCACACTACATAATGATAAAGAAAGTAATCCAATAAGAGAATATAACTCTTGTAAACCTTTAGACACCAAACATAGAAGCACTTAAATATATAAAACATAATTGTGATGACCCTGAACAGTTTTGCTCAGTGGTTAGAGTGATGGGCTGAGGATCAAAGAGTCACAAGTTTAATTCCAGCAAGGGCACCAAAAGACAAAGAGGTTAAAAAAAATGTTACTAAATAATTAATTGGTTAACAAGGAGGTCAAGAAAGAAATCAAAAGATACTTTGAAAATAATGAAAATTAGAACACAACAACCCAAAATCTATGGGTCACAGTGAAAGCAGTCTTAAGAGGGGAAATTAGAGCTGCTGTGCACCAAAGGTGGAGTTGGGGCCCCGGCATCCCCTCCTCGCTCCGGGCCGGGCCCTGCCCCACCCTCTTCCTCCTGGTTCAGATGGGCTCAGCCAAGAGCATACCAGTCACTCCAGCGCGGCCTCCGCCGCACAACAAGCTTCTGTCTTGAGTGGCGGACCCGCGTTCACCTAGTGCCGGCATCGTGCGCACTCCCATCCAGGTGGAGAGCTCTCCACAGCCAAACCTAGCAGCAGAGGAACAGCTGAAGGATCCTAATCAGGCCCAGGATTCAGATCCCCGCTCTCCTACCCTTGGCATTACACGGACACCTATGAAGACCAACAACGGAGAGCTTGCATCCCCACTGGAGAAACAGCTGAGTGAAGTATTTGAGACCGAAGCCCCCAAATCAAATCTTCCCCCAGAGCCTGCTCTGCCCCTAGAGGCACTTTAATCTTCTGAGTTGGACTTGCCTCTGGGTACCCAGTTTTCCCTTGAGGACCAGATGCCACATGGGAGCCAGACTGAGCTCCCCTCAAAGCAGGTGTCTTCTGAGGAAGAAACAGGACAGCCTTCAGAAACCCTTATGGCCAGCCAGGGCTCAGACAAGCCCGTGAGAGACCCTGAGATGCCCAGATCTTCAGGTTCTAAGTGCAATAGACGGAAACCAAAAGGCAAGGTACTAGGGAGATCTCCCCTCACCATCCTGCAGGATGACAACTCCCCTGGGACTCTGACACCACGACAGGGTAAGAGGCCTTCTCCTCTGAGTGAAAATGTTAGAGAACTAAAAGAAGGAGCCATTCTGGGAACTGGACGACTTCTGAGAACTGGAGGACAAGCGTGGGAGCAAGGCCAAGACTGTGACAAGGGAAATCAACACTTTGCCTTCGTAGAGAACTAGGCCATGCATGGCCCAGGCCTGGGTTTACTAGGGGTCTAGTGATATTCCAAGTTCTCTCTCATCCCTTCTTTCCCTGGGAGACTAGAAATGCTCATTTTTTTCAACTCCCCCTAAACTACCAACTCTGGAACTGAGAGCTTTCTTAGGCTTTCTTTGTGTTATGTGTTTCTTGTATATTAAAGGAAGTGATTTAAAAAAAAAATATAAAAAGAGGGAAAATTATAACATTACAAATCAACCTCAAGCCCAGCCGGTGTGCCTCAGTGGTTGAGCATTGACCCATACACCAAGAGGCCACTAGTTCAATTCCTGGTCAGTGCACATGCCCAGGTTGTGGGTCAAATCCCCAGTGGGGATGGCATGCAGGAGGTGGCCAATAGATGTTCTCTACCATCGATGTTTCTCTCTATCCTCCTCTCTCTTCCTGGCTCTCTAAAATAAATAAAAATAAAATAATAAAACAAATCAACCTCAGGAAACAAGAAAATATCAAATAAACAAACTTTACACTTAAAAGAATTTGAAAAGAAAATCAAACAAGGCTCAAAATGAGTAGAATGAAGGAAATGATAAAGATCAAAGCAGAAATAGAATTTTAAAAACAATAAACAAGACCCACAAAACCAAGAGAATGTTATTTGAAAAGAAGCAAGAATGCCATTATAGTTTTAAACAGGTTTTCGATTTCTTGTTCTCGCTCTTCTCCTTCTGGCACCCCCAAGATGCGAATGTTGGCATGCTTGAAGTTGTCCCAGAGGCTCCTTACACTATCCTCATTTTTTTGGATTCTTTTTTTCTTTTTGAAGTTCTGATTGGGCATTTTTTCTTCCTTATATTCCAAATTGATGGTTTGCTCCTTGGATTTACATACTCTATTATTGAAGCTCTGTAAATTATTCTTTATTTCAGTTAATGCCTATGGCCAAAAAAAAACTTTCCCAGACAAGAAAAAGTTAAAAGAGTTCATCACCACCAAACTGTTATTATGTGAAATGATTAAGGGTCTTTTTGAAGAAAAAGATAAAATATATGAACAACGAAATGGCAATGAATACATATCTATCAACAATGGAATCTACAAACAAAATGAACAGGTAGAACAGAAACATTCTCATAGATACAGAGAACATTTTGTTGGTTGCCAGTTGGGAGGGGGGTTGGGGGAATGGGTGAAAAAGGTGAAGAGATTAAGAAGTACAAATTCATTGCCAGACTGACAAACCTCAAAGGGAAAGGGGTTGGGGGGACTGGGAAGAAATAAAGCAAAGAACTTATATGCATAACCAATAGACACAGATAATAGTGTGGGAAAAGGTGGGAGGGGGGTGGGAATAGGGAGGAGGGGGTCAATGGGGAAAAAATGTGGAACATCTGTAATACATTTTACATCCAACAATAAAGAATTAAAAAGAAAAAGGAAAAAATCAATTAACTATAAATATATATTTAAAAAAAGAAGCAAGAATGACAAACCTTTAATCTGACTTATCAAAAAGAAAAAAAAAGTAATAAGAACAAAATAAATAAATAAATAAATAAACAAACAAACAAACTCAGAAATGAAAGAGGAGAAGTAAAAATACACCAAAGACATACAAAGGATTGTAAGAAAATATTATGAAGAACTATATGCCAACAAATTGGACAATCTGGAAGAAGTGGATACATTTCTAGAAACATACATTTTTCCAAAACTAAATCAGAAAGGATCAGAAAATCTGAATGTACTGATTACAACAAGTAAAACTGAAGTATTAATTAAAAAAAACTTCCAACAAACAGAAGTCCAGGACTGGATGGCTTTACAGGTGAATTTTGCCAAACATTCAAAATAGAACGATCACCTACTCTTCTCAAAGTATTCCAAAAATTTCAAGAAAAGAGAAAACTTCCAAACTCATTTTGCAAGGCCAGCAATATCCTAATTCAAAAATCAAATAAAGACACTATAAAGAAAGAAAAAAAAAATCTAGCAAACTGGACCCAGCAATATATTAAAACAATCATACACCACAATGAAGTGGGATTTATTTTGGGGATAGACGTTTGGTACAATATCTGCATATCAATGTGTGATACACCATATAAAAAATGAAGGTTAAAAACACATTATCATATCAATAGATGCTGAGAAATAATTTGATAAAATCCAGTGTCCATTTACAGTAAATCTCTAGCAAAGTGGGATTAGAGGAAGCATACCTCAACAAAATAAAGGCTATATAACAAACTCACAGTTAACTACATACTCAGTAGGCAAAAACTAAGTGTTTCCCTAAGGTCAGGAACACGATAAGGATGTCTACTTTCATCACATTCATTCGACATACTACTAGCCACAGTATCAGACCAGAAGAAATAAAAGATATTCAAATGGAAAGGAAGAAGTAAAACTGTCATTATTTGTAGATGACATGATGCCGTATATAGAGAATCCTAACAATTTCACCAAAAAACTGCTAGAACTGATAAATGAATTCAATAAAGTAGAAAAATACAAAATATCCAGAAATATGGGCATTTTTTTTATATCAATAATGAACTATCAGAAAAGGAAACTAAGAAAATAATCCCATTTACAATTGCACCCAAAAAATTACTTAAGAATAAATTTAACCAATGATGTAAGAGACCTGTACTCAAAAAAATTGTGAAACACTGAAGACATTGAAAAACATACAAATATACCATGTTCATGGATTGGAAGAATTCACATCATTAAAATGCCCAGCCTTGGCCCGTTGGTTCAGTGGATTTCAGCATCATTCCACACACAAAAAGACTGCTGGTTTGATTTCCAGTCTGGCCACATTCCTAGGATGTGGGTTTGACTTTAATTTGGGGTGCATAAAGGAGATAACTGTTTGTTTTTTTCGCAAATTAATCTCTCTTTCTTTCTCTCTCTCTCTCTCTCTCTCTCTCTCTCTCTCTCTCTCTTTCTTCCTTCTTCTCTCTTAATAAAAAAAACAACAAAAAACAACAACAACAAAAAAACAACAATAAGAGCCTGACCAGTGTGGCTCAGTGATGAGCATCGACCCATGCACCAAGAGGTCACCAATTTGATTTCTGGTCAGGGCACATGCACAGGTTGTGAGCCAAATGCCCAGTGGGGGGCATGCAGGAAGTGGCCAATCAATGTTCTCTCTCACTGATGTTTCTACCCCTCTCTCCCTCTCCCTTCCTTTTTCTCTAAATCAATAAAGAAAAAAAATTAAAAACAACAATAAAAATAAAATAAATAAATGACCATTAAGTATATCTTCAGGTGAGGATAATTTTAAAAAAGGTGTTTGTACTATCCAAAGTAATCTATAGATTCAAAGCAATTCCTATCAAGATACCAATGATGTATTTCACAGAATTAGAACAATTATTCCAAGAACATATACAAAACCACAAAAGACACCAAACACTCCCAGCAATCTTGAGAAAGAACAAAATTTGAGGAATTATGCTACCTGATATCAAACTATACTACAAGGCAATAGTAATCAGAATAGTATGTTATTGACATAGCAATGTTATTTACATTAGCTAAGATCTGGAAACAGCCCATGTGCCCTTAAGTAGATGAGTGGATAAAAAAGCTATGGTACATTTACACAATGGAATATTATGAAACTGTTATGAAGCAGGCTCTCTTACTCTTTAAGAGAACATGGAGGGAATTGGAGAATATCATGCTAAGTGAAATAAGCCAGTCAGAGAAAGACAAGTATCACATAATCTCACTATATATGGAATTAAATGAGAAAAATATATTGAGGAATAAAATTGATTCAGAGACATGGTTGCAGAGAACAGACTGATAAGTCTCAGTGGGAAAGGGTGGAAGGAAGAAGAGATTAACCAAAGCACTTATATGCATATATGCATAACCAATGGACACAGACAATAGTACAGTGAAGGCATGGTGGGGAGTAAGAGTGTGTTGGAAGAGGTCAGTGGGGCAAAAACAAGTGATAGCTGTAATACATTAAACAATAAAGATAAATTAAAAAAAAAAAAAAAAAACAGACTTATAGATCAATGGAACAGAATAGAGAGCCCATAAACAAACCCACATCTTTAAGGTTGATTAATATTTGACTAAGGAAGAAAGAACATACATTGTGGTAAAAGCCTATTTTAAAAAATAGTGTTGTGAAAACTGGATAGATAGATGAAAAAAAAAAAAAAAAAACATAAAGAAAAAGAAACTGGACTATCTTCTTATACCACACATAAGAATAAACTCAAAATTGATTAAAGACTTAAATGTTAGATTCAAAGCCATTAAACTAATAGAAGAAAACAAGCAGTAAAATCTCAGATATTTCTTGTTTCAATATTTTTTGATATATTCCCTCAGGCAAGGGAAACAAAAGCAAAAATAAACAAATTGAAAAACATCAAACTAAAAAGCTATAGCACAGCAAAGAAAACCATCAACCAAATAAAAAGACATCCCACTGAATGACAAAATATATTTGCCAATGATACAGCTGATAGGGAGTTAATATCCAAAATTAATAAAGAATTTATAAAAGTCAACACCAAAAAACCAATACAATTTAAAAAATGAACAATGAACCTGAATAGACACTTCTCCAAAGAGGCCATACAGATGGTTAATAGACATATAAAAAGTGTTATTAAGAATTATAAAAATGCAAATTAAAACCACAATGAGATATCACCTCACACCTTTCAGAATAGTGATCATTAATAAATTAACAAACAACAATTGTTAAGAAGGATTTGGAGAAAAGGTTACGCTTGTACACTGTTGGTAGTAATGAAGATTTGTACAGCCACTGTGGAAAATGATATGAATTTACCTCAAAATATTTAAAATGGAACTGACTTACATCCCAGCAATTCCACTTCTGGAGATATATCTGAAGAAAACTGTAACACTATTTGAAAGAATATATGCACCCTTATGTTCACTGCAGTGTTATTTACAATAACCAAGATTTGGAAGCAGCCTGAATGCCCATCAATAAATGAGTGGA